TAAATTAATAATCGTGGTTTTCTCTGCATGTCCCTTTATTGTTGCGATGCGTTAAAGTATGTTTTTCTGTTCTCATAGAGTCCTTTTTCAACCTATCAGACATTTCACTATTGACATGTTAAATCTACAATTAATAGAGTGTAAAATTAAGCTCGCGTCTCGTGCGGCGCCAGAACTTGCCCGCTGACTAACTACATTTTTAGTCGAACACGAGTGATTAAGTATTGGCCGACTAAAAAAGTTAAGTCGTTATTATTCAAATTGTTGAGAATTTGATGCGAACAGGTCGCCTGCAATGTCGCCGACGTTCCCAAAGGGCTACCATATCTATGATGATGCTCATCTCACTTTAGCGAACTAGATACCGTACCTGGGGGTCTTCTTGTTGATCGAGCTCAGTTCCCTGTTCTGTACAAAGGTCCTGGTGATTCCAGGGTGTTACTTTGATGCCACCCACAATTTTTGTGATAGAAGGTACCTGCGAAAGCCAAGTATTATTATATATTGGCCGACTTATTTTTGTCTTGGGATTCCCTGGAAAACTAGAAAAGTTACTATTTGACTTAATTAATTTAAGTGTTTCCGTGCTCAAAGCGTAAATAAGTGTTATTTATTTTTTTTTTGTTATTATTGATTTATTTATTAATTATTATATTGCATTAAATTATTATCTCATTATTACATATCCCTCACACAAATTTGATAAAATATAAAATCTCCAAGAGTAGGAATCGGATTTGTGTCGTATTTAAGTCCGAATAAAATAACGGCTGTTAAGTTAATTTAACGGAAGGTCAAACAAAATTATGAAAAAATATTTTAAAAAATTAATAAATACATAAAAATATAAAAAATGTAGGCCTTGGATGAGATTGCTCTATACATGCATTGTAGACATAAAATATGGCCAAAAGGGCCTTTCTTGTTGCCAACGACCTTTCTCAGGACGATGTCCCCAACTTGAAACTCTTTTGGGTTGGCCTTCTTGTTGTAGACCCTAGCAAGCTGGTGGGGGCATAGTTCAGATTTAGGACAGTTTGATCCAGTTCAGTCTATTGGGCTTACTTTTGGACCCCTTTTCGATAATCAAAACCGTTACACTGTAAGTTATACCGTCCATTTTTTTTCAAAATACATGAAATCAAATTAAATACTATTTAGTTTGACTATTAATGTTTATTATTCGTTTTTTGAATCATTTTTAAATTTCTGTGTGTGGATCTGTAGTCGTGAATAGTTTCTGCATATGAGTCGGAATAATATATATGTAATTTGAATGGGCATGGGTCATGCCACATGGGTGCCCAAATCCGGGTCCAATACCCGGTCCAATTTCCAGCAGATTAAATTCATGATTTATCAGCACATTCATAGGATAACTGGGGCACATGTTTCAATTGGCGCCAGACTGTTCAGGTCCATTTGACCCCTTTGATGGTTCATCAAGTCCATAAACACAGCCGGTGCATTGGTAAGCCCAAAAGGCATCACCAGAAACTCATAGCGGCTATACCGCGTACGGAATGCCGTAACATTTCATCATCGAGTGTTCAGAGTGAAGTGCCCAAATCTTAAGGCCGGTCAAAATGGGGTGTCGAAGCCAAGAGATGGTAGAAAAACATGCTTAACTGCTAGGCCATCTCCATGTGAGTCTAACCTATGCATTGAAGGTACTGATGGAGAAAGGGCATCTTAAACTGCTCAATCCTCGACCTCTCCCTAATTCTCTGCCAAAATATCCAAGTGCAGTTTTGACTTGTACAAGCACAACGTCGTCAGCCTAAGTAAGGGCTCTTTTTAGATCGTTGCGATAAACTTTAAATCTATAAAACTCACATGTCTATCACATATCTAACTCACATCATAACTTACCTAAATAATAATAATTAAAAACAAATGGAAATCACAGATAAATTAAATTTTTAAAAAAAGATACTCACAACTCCAACTTAAATAAAAATAAAATAAATTAAAATAAAATAATACCAGCAGAAATGAAACTTAGGCCGTGGTATGATATGCTGTTGGCCAAGGCCAGGGCATGCCATGCTGTTGGACAAGGCCGTGGCGCCTCTGTTTGTTTCTGATGAAAATAGTAAGAGAAACAAAAAAAACCAAAATTTGAAAAAATATTTTGATTTAAAATGATAACACACGAATTTGGTGCATTATTATGTGTAATATTTTTTTTTGTTATTTTTTTTGTAGTTGTATGTATTTATCATTAGTCACGTGTCCGTCATCATCAAAGTTGTCTCGGCTAGAAAACTTAGGTACAAGAGGGGAAGGTCCTGAAATGAGCACACTTGCTCACCCGATCAAAGATCGGGCTATGTTTGGTTTGTATTTGTGAAACAATTTCGTCTCGAACTCGATTCGTTAAATTTTTATTAAGTTCGAACTTAAATTTAAATTCGTTAAAATCTTAATAAATAAATTTAAACGTACTAAATACCTTTTAACCATACTAAAAAGGTATTTAGTCTAATTATGTTAAAAATGTAGGATTGACTATATTTTTAATGTGTTAGTTAATTATATATAATTAATCTAAATGAATACGTTATTCATCACATGTCTTGAATAGAATCATATGCCATGTTCATAGCTGAGCCTATTAAACCTTTCTGGGGTGGCCGGCCAGCATTTCTCCTTGAACCTTTTGACCCTTGGTCGGCCGACCACCTTAACTGGTCGGCCTGCTTCCTGCTTTTTGTATGGATGGATGTTTCTGAGGGAGTGGCCTATTTTTCTATAAATATAGGACCTCCTCTCCCATTTTTAAGGGTTAGAAATATTGTAACCATTTCATGGTCTTTACATTATTTATTTATTTATTGGTGTAGGAAAAATTGGATCCATAGAATGTTCTCAAAGAGGTCTACTTCGATGATATTAAGGCCTTGTTTTGGGTGTACTAATTAGTACACACTTTTTATCTTTTTATATTTTTTCCATCACATCACCTCTCTATTTTTCTGCACATCTTTTCGTAAAAAGTCAAAAAGTACACTTATTTAGATTATCCCAAATAACCCCTAAATAGAACAATCCTCCCAATATGAGTAGTGTTTGTGAGTGTGTGTGTGCGTGTGTGTGTGGCTATATTGGATATACAACTTTGGAAGGTTGCTTTCTGAAGTTATATTCGTCTAGCTATAGTTCAAATGCTTAAAGGCCAGAGTTGGCTGGCATTAAGATTACAATGTTGTAACTTATGACGGCCTCGTCCAAGGATCAAAATTTCATTTTAATATGTTGTTTTGGTTAGCTTAGAAACAAATGCTTTGTAAATATTTTGGAAACTCAAGGGAAATGAGGAATTTTTTTTTTTTTTTTTTTGAAAACGTTTGAAAAAGTTTTGAAACAAAATCTAAACCTTATATATAAATGCTAATACATATTCAATAACTAATTTAATTGAACATGTTGATATTTATGAACATTAGAAACTACTAAACAAAAGCTTTAAATGCTTAGTTGAGAAAGAAGTTTGCCATTGTAAAAGAAAAAAATGCAAAATTTAGTAGTAATAGGGATGAAAAAAAAAAGAGAGTACTATGTGGTATAAAGAAAGAAAATAAGTGCACATAATTATGCTTCTTTTATCTTCTTTTTTCTATATCTCCTTTCTAGTTTTGCCTTTCCTAATGTTTTGGCGTGTTTTGGTATGTTTTGTTGGAAACATTGGAATTGCATTATTCCACTAATGTTTCATTTTGGTTTCCTAGGAAACATAAGCATTTCAGCCATTTTGATGGAAAACGAAATGGTATTTTGTTCCTTGGCCCTGTCTAACGGACCCATATTTCTCTATTGAGCCTCTTTTTTGGCGCTCGCCTAATGTGTAATGTGTGACTTGGAAGCCACTTGTCATAGTGCCATGTCTAGTGCTGAGCAGGAAAAAAAAAAAAAAAAATTGTAAACTGGTTCGATCCAGACCAAATCGCACTGTTTGGTTTGGTTTTCTCAATGCATGGTTTGGTCCTAGTTCTTAAAATAGGTGAACCATGCTTCACGGTTCGGTTTGTGATTTTATAGTTATAGTTCCAGTTTGGAACCGAACCAGGCCGTTTAGATATATACATACATATAATTTGTTACTTATGATAGACACTCAAGTATCTTATATATATTCACAAGTTGTTAACCCCTTGTTTACAAGTGTCTTCTTGTATAATAGTAAAACTAGTTCTAAACAATCATTCAAACAATTTTGTTTGTAAAATGAAGATATATTGCTTGATCTTTGAGCAAGTAGTAATTATGTTGTGAATGATCACAAAGTTCATGAAACCATGATTCCAAATTGAACTGCATTTTTCATGATTTGGTTTGGTTCTAAGATTTTCATAGCTTGATTTGGTTTCATATTTTATAGAACTGTAGGCAGTGGTTTGGTCTTGGTTCACTTCAAAATTGAAACCTCCCAAGATTTTCATGGTTCAATTTGGTTTCAAATTTCGTGGAATTTTATGTAGTGGTTTGTTATTGGTTTTCTTCAAAACCAAACCAAACCAAACCAAACCAAACTGAACCATCCTCACGCCTAGCCGCATCCAGGCCCACATATTGTGACACTGCCAGGTAGCACAGTATGACGCCTTGTCAAGGAAAATTAAGGAAAACGAATAGAAAAATGGAAAGTCTTTGTTTGGCTGGTTGTTTGGGTGGTTAAAAAAAAAAAAAAAAAAAAAAAAGATGAAAATGATAGGTAGTTTTTTAATTTGGTTCTTAGAGAAAAATAAACAAATAATTCTTTTCTTTTTTTCTTTTTTACTTGACACAAATTCTAAATCCAAACATAGCATAAATGTCCTCATAGAAAATTAAAGCACTAAAAGTTAAGACTCAACGTGAGTTACAAAGTGACATTGTAGGTTAGCGAAGTGTCCCTTTTCATTTGATGCCCTTGAAAACTATATTTGGTTGTTGCATGTCTCATAGTAAGTAGAACGGAAAGGCGAGTCTATGGAATGGATGGAGATAATCTATTTTTTCATTGCCAAGAAGGTCGTTCTCTCGCTTACAATAGGATTTGATTTTTGAGAGAGATAGTAGGTAGACAGTTTTGCCTTAACTTTTTTGTGGAGACTAATTTTCCCCAACTCAAACCTTGGGAAGACCAGAAAGCACTAGAAAATTGCACAATAGTTTCCCTTTCTTGTTTAGACTTGGACATAGTAATTTCTAGTAATTGAGTACTTAGATTTACAATACAATAACATAGTCATGCTTTAGAGACTCTTTATTAACTCTTTATTCCAAATATTGCTTCGGTGATCTTCGCTGCAACATAGTTTTCAGATTGCAATAGTACTGGATGCTGAAATACAATTGTTGGCGATCCTTCTATCCTTTAAGATGTAGGCTCCATATATATAAATATAGAATACATATAGGGAAAAATGAAATTCAAGAAAAAATTAAATTAAAACTATTATAACTTGGAGATGACTTGGCGTTGGTTTAGGGAAACTAGCTCCTTCCGCAAGATTTTGCCAGCTGCTGATCTCGGGATGGCACTGATGAAGCCTACTTTTCTTACCTTCTTGTATGGGGCCACCTGAAAATTTCAGTATAACAATCTTAGAAGATCATATATATGTGTGTGTGTGTGTGTGTGATTATCGATAGGAGCACATAAACTGGTTTTTATGTGCATACTTCAACTATATATATATGTATGTGCCAATATACAGGCATGGATAAATTTTTTGATAACTCCATGGAAAGAGGAAGAAGGGACCAACACAAACCTGACTGGCAACAAATTTGATGATTTCGTCTTCAGTAAGTTCAGAACCAGCTGCTTTCACCACATATGCCATTGGTATCTGTCCTGCTTCTTCATCTTCAACTCTACACCATATCTTATTCTGTTATATCTATCTATCTATCTATCTATCTATATATATATATAGAGAGAGAGAGGGTAAGCAGTGTGACATACGGTATAACTGCAGTGTCAAGAATACCAGGATGACTCAAAAGAATTGCTTCCAATTCTGCCGGTGCTACCTGGATTTGCATTCATATATCACATCATTATATTGTTTACAACACGTAACATTGTTCTTAATTCCCGTAACATTACATACGTTATCTACTTGTGCATATATACATACCTGATACCCATTGTGCTTGATGAGCTCCTTTATCCGATCAACGATGTAAACGAATCCATCTTCATCAAAATAACAAAGATCTCCGGTTCTCAGCCACCCATCTTTATCAAATGTCGCAGCCGTCGCCTCCTCATTTCCCAAGTACCCTTTCATCACCACGGGGCTCTTCAGCCACAGCTCTCCTTCCCTACCAGGTGGCAACGCCAATCCCGTCTCAAAATCCACCACCTTGGCAGTAAAACTTGGAATCAACCTTCCACATGAAGCTGAACGTTCCTTAGCCTGTTCATCGGAAACACTAAAAGTGCCTGCACCGCAGCTCTCGGTTAGTCCATAGCCTTGTCTTACCTCGACCCCTGGAAACTTCTCTCTGAAGGCATCGGAAACCTCTTTGCTCAACGGTGCTGCCCCCGAGCCAATCCTTCTTAGGGACGACAAGTCATGACCACCATCAATATGCTTCACCAGCCCAAGTATCACTGGGGGCACTGCCGGAACATTATTGACTTGGTAAGTTTGAATTGCATCAAGCATAGCTTGGAAGTCAAACTTTTGCATCAACACCGTCGTTATGCCCGAACAAAACAGGCCAAGGCCAAAGAATGCAAGTCCATAGATGTGAAACATTGGTATGAAGCACAAGAACACATCATTCTGGGCCGATATTGCGTCGACAGTCCATTTGAGAAGTGTCATGATAGATATGAAGTTTGAATGGGTTAATACTACACCTTTGCTAGTCCCAGTAGTCCCTGAGGAATATAGAATGGCTGCGGTGTCTGATTGAGTGAGCCCTTGTTTTGGCAACTCCATCGGATCACAGCTTTCGATTAGCTCTTCAATGGAAAGTGCACTGTCGGATGGACGAGAAGTGTGGAGTGTAGGCAATCCTGTGGAGACTAATTTGCACACCTCTTCTGGTGCAGCAATTCCGAGTTTAGCACCCGAGTCACGTACTTGCTTGGCGATTTCTGACGCGGTGTTGACTGGGTTTGCGGTGGTTAGCACCGCGCCGATGGACAGTACGGCTAGACAAATGGTCGGGTACAGGAGTGAGTTTGGGGACAGGACGAACACGACGTCGCCCTTGCGAATCCCTAGCCCATGGTACAGTCCAGAGGCGAGGGAGTCAATCGAGTGGCGGAGTTGTGCATATGTAACTCTCTGGTTAGTGGCCGAGTCAATGAGTGCAACTCTTGACTCGGCTTCTTTTGGTGGTGGAAATTGTGATAGCACAAACATGGCCGTGTCAAGGTCAGGCCTGGTTGGTATCTTTAGATGTTCACCGAGTTGTTCGAGTGAGTGGTAGATACCGGTTCGCGAATCGAAGCCGCTCCGTGGATCATACTCCGGTTGGTAACTCTTCTTGGCTTCATTCTCCAAGGCAGTGATCCACCCATTGTCGCTTGACATGGCTGAAAGTAAGGTTTAACAAAGAATGTTGTGGTAAAATTTAGTGTTAGCTAGTGTTTTGTGTTTATGTGTGTGAATGCGAATGTAATAATGATTAAGATTTGTTTACGTGGTTAATTATAAGTACGAAAAGGGTCGTTTAGCAGAGTATCGGCATCGTAAAGTCCGTTGTTTAGAGGACATTATTTTTGTGAAATTATGTGATTTGTTGCCGGCAATGACGAGGTGTATTCTTGTTAATTAGAAGATTCATATTTGATGCCCTTATAACAAGACATTGACGTCCTATATCATTTTCTTCTTAACCTTTGATTACAACGTTTGCGCGACATAAATTTTTTTGCCGCCCAAATCAATGTGTAAACAGTAATGCTAGGTATCATGAAAAGTCTTTCATAAAAATAGTCATGAAAGATTTGTGACATTTGGATTACACTTACAATAAAGCACCACACACTAATCAAGATAATCTAAGGATCACAAATTTTTCATGATCATTTTCATGAAAAAATTTTCATGATCCCTAACATTTCTCATCCATAGTAACAATTCTCATCCATATTTAAATTTTCATGATCCCTAACATTTCTCATCCATAGTAACAATTCTCATCCATATTTAAATTTTCATGATCCCTAACATTTCTCATCCATAGTAACAATTCTCATCCATATTTAAATTTTCATGATCCCTAACATTTCTCATCCATAGTAACAATTCTCATCCATATTTAAATTTTCATGATCCCTAACATTTCTCATCCATAGTAACAATTCTCATCCATATTTAAATTTTCATGATCCCTAACATTTCTCATCCATAGTAACAATTCTCATCCATATTTAAATTTTCATGATCCCTAACATTTCTCATCCATAGTAACAATTCTCATCCATATTTAAATTTTCATGATCCCTAACATTTCTCATCCATAGTAACAATTCTCATCCATATTTAAATTTTCATGATCCCTAACATTTCTCATCCATAGTAACAATTCTCATCCATATTTAAATTTTCATGATCCCTAACATTTCTCATCCATAGTAACAATTCTCATCCATATTTAAATTTTCATGATCCCTAACATTTCTCATCCATAGTAACAATTCTCATCCATATTTAAATTTTCATGATCCCTAACATTTCTCATCCATAGTAACAATTCTCATCCATATTTAAATTTTCATGATCCCTAACATTTCTCATCCAGAGGCTTGAAGCAATCCCTCCATACACGTGTATGGAGGATGCCTTCTGTGCCCAACAGCTGGCACAGCTATGAAGGAAAATATCTACAGAAAAGCTACCGACCAGTTGAAGTGGTCGACCGACCACTCCTCCTAGTCAACCAACCACAAAAAGTGGTCTACAGGGAATAAAACTGGTCGGCAAGGGAGGAAGCGGGTCTGCAAGGAGAGTAGAAGGTGGTGGCAGGCTGCCGACCACCTTAGGTGGTCCACAGACCACACACCATAGCTGGCCGACCACCGAAAGTGGTCTACAGGGGAAAAAACTAGTCTACACCCCTGTTCCACCCTCCAAGCAAAGGGTAACAATATTTGGTTCAAAAACAAACCAAAAAGGAATCAAGACAAGTGTCCGCAAGGCGAGGCACTCAGCCGGAAGCCTTGAAAACTAGTCTACGGGTACAAAAAGTGGCCTACAAGAGGGAAAGGTAGTCTACAGCTACAAAAAGTGGCCTATAGGCCTCTGTCTCCCTCTAGGCAAAGGCAGCAAGGCATGGTTCAAAAACCAGGCCAAGAGGAGAAAGTTAAGAGGTCCCGAGACAAGGCGCTCAGCCGAAGGCTCCGAAAACTCAAAACAAGCACAAACATGCACAATCATCGAGCGCTCAATCGATAACGTCTGAGTCTTAATGTCGGTAAAACATGGGGTGTCTACAGTTGCCCCTCTTTGACAGAACTCGGAAGTCATGAAATGACGAGAGTGAATGTCAAAGCCCAGAGACAACCCATTTTTGACAAGGCCGAAGACTTAGACAAATAGGCAAGAAAACAAAGAGATACGCCCGCAGGTAGGGGCATGATGCAAATGGCATGCACAATGCATAACATAACTTGTGATCATGTAAAGAAAGTTGTAATGAAACATTTGAATGCAAGTGCTAGGCATCGTAAATGCAACATTTTAAACAAGCGAATAAGATACAACAGTCTCACACATTCCAACAGAAAGGATGTAAGAAAATTATGCAATTTTCACTGCGCTTCTCGCGGGGAAGGCCCAAAGCAATCGTCGGGAACACCCGAAGTCTCAAGCAAGATTCCAACACGAAGTGAGCGTGTGTGATAGATACACAAAGTGAACGTGTGATAGATGCACAAAGTGAGCAAAGTGTGATAGATACACAAAGCGAACGTGTGATAGATGCACAAAGTGAACGTGTGATAGATGCACAAAGTGAGCATGTGTGATAGATACACAAAGTGAACGTGTGATAGATACACAAAAGGGAATGAAGTGTGATAGATACACTAAGTGAACATGTGTGATAGATACACTAAGTGAACATGTGTGATAGATACACAAAAGGGAACAAAGTGTGATAGATACACAAAAGGTGAACGAAGTGTGATAGATACACTAAGTAAACAAAGTGTGATATATACACAAAAGTGAACGAAGTGTAATAGATACACAAAAGGTGAATGAAGTGTGATAGATACACTAAGTGAACATGTGTGATAGATACACAAAATGAGCAAAGTGCGATAGATACACTAAGTGAACAAAGTGTGATAGATACACTAAGTGAACATGTGTGATAGATACACAAAAGGGAACGAAGTGTGATAGATACACAAAAGGTGAACAAAGTGTGATAGATACACTAAGTGAACAAAGTGTGATAGATACACTAAGTGAACATGTGTGATAGATACACAAAAGGAAACAAAGTGTGATAGATACACAAAAGGTAAACGAAGTGTGATAGATATACTAAGTGAACAAAGTGTGATAGATACACAAAATAACCAAAGTGTGATAGATACACTAAGTGAACAAAGTGTGATAGATACACTAAGTGAACATGTGTGATGGATACACAAAAGGTGAATGAAGTGTGATAGATACACTAAGTGAACAAAGTGTGATAGATACACTAAGTGCGCAAAGTGTGATAGATACACTAAGTGAGCAAAGCATGTGCGATAGATACACAAAGTGAATGAAGTGCGATAGATATACAAAAGGAGAACAAAGTGTGATAGATACACTAGGTGAACATGTGTGATAGATACATAAAGGGAAAAAAGTGTGATAGATGCACTAAGTGAACATATGCGATAGATACACAAAATGATCAATTTTAAATGGAACTTCTCTGAATGAACAGCACATCCAATATCGCCTGGTTGCGCCAACCTCAAATGAACCGTACATACAATATCGTGCATGAATGAGAAAGAAACTTCATAGGTACCATGCAATACAATGCATGATGCAATAAACAAACATAACGGCGCTTTAAAAAGCACCTCACGGGGTGAGTGGCGATGAACCACTCTACTTTGACGAGGATCTCCCCTTTGTGTTCTTCGAACTCTTACATTGTGTTCTTCGAACTCTTACCTTCAACTCACAGTACGAAGGTCCTGAAATGCTGACAAGTAGCGACATTTGCATGTAGAAGCCACGGATGCCGTTTTTCTTCCTGATCATATTCACAACTTTCCCTATTCTCCAACGGGGTGACAGACTAGGTTGGTTCAGTATCTAGAATTGAGAAGCCACACCCGCTACCTCAACCTATGGGGCTATCATACATGGTGGTGAACATGCAATCCACATTTTTGAAATTCTGAACACGCAGCTCAAATATTTTTGTTGTGAACACGCAGCTCACGATTTTGAAATCTGAACACGCAGCTCAAATTTTTGAATTCCAAAACACGCAACTCAACTTTTTTGAAATTCTGAACACGTAGCTCAACTTTTTTGAAATTCTGAACAAGCAACTTAACTTTTTTTTTTTTTTTGAAATTCTGAACACGCAACTCAACTCTTTGAAGTGAACATGCAGCTCACGATTTTGAAATTATGAACACGCAGCTCATATTTTTTGAAATTTCTAAACACGCAGCTCATGATTCTAAAATTATGAACACACAGCTCATATTTTTTGAAATTTTGAACACGCAGCTCAACTTTTGAAATTCTGAACACGCAGCTCAACTTTTTTTGAAATTCTGAACACGTAGCTCAACTTTTTTAAAATTATGAACAAGCAACTTAACTTTTTTTTTTTTTTTGAAATTCTGAACACGCAGCTCAA